CGCAGTTTCAAATAACACAGATTCAAGGTTCAGATCAAGGTTCAGCGGCGCCTAGGCAAGATTCTTCAAGAAGCGGCTCAGCAATGCCATCGCAGTCAGTACCATCGACGATCATTCAGCCTGGCTCATCACCTCAAGCACAAGGTTTTTCGGCGAAGAGTCCAACAATGCCTTGCCAGAATGGTGCATGTCCTCCACCATTTACATGCGTTGATAACGTTTGCGTAAAAGGTAAAGTTTGCAAGACCAGCAGTTATTGTGACGATCCAAGATTTGAATGTAATCAACAAATCTGTGTCCCAAAGCCTGAGTGGAGGCCGGAATACAGCTTAATGATGTGTCCTTGTCCTCCATCGGCTACTTGCGTGAAAAACTTCTGTGTTGTAAGCAAATTTCCTTGCCAGAATGACAACGAATGTGGAAGTCCACAACTGAAGTGTATCGAGTTCAATTGCGTTGTTCAAAAACAAGCTCCCTCAGTGCCTACATTGCCACCGACAGCTCCCTCAGCGCCACCGACAGCTCCCTCAGTGCCTACATTGCCACCAGCAAATGAGTCCAAGCCTTCAATGCCTAGCCAGTCACCAGATACAGTGCCACCGCAACCATCATTCGACTGCGTGAACGGTACTTGTCCCGAACCTTACGTGTGCATAGCTGGTTCCTGTGTAAGGGGTCAGCGTTGCAAGATCGATTCCGATTGTGGTTACTCTCGTGTTAAATGCTTAAAAGGTTTGTGCATGCAAGTTAAACTCAAAATTATGCAACCAATACTTGTTATAGGAGACGAGAGTTAATTTTTACGTATTCCACACTGTTTGTCAAAGAATGTCCATTCACGAATAAACGGTTTGATAGTACATTGTTACATGAATTCCGAAGTGAGCACAATGAGATTTTTTGTGTAGCAGTATTCTATCCGAGCATGTGGTTGTCCTTTTAAGGAAGGAATCAAAGGAATCAACGTTGAGTGAAATCATAGTGAACCATTATGAAGTTTGAAAGTACTACCCAGAAAAGATAATGGTTATAAGTTGCGCCAGGACATGAAAGTCGTTGCTCTTGTTAGCATTTTGAGACTAACTTTATATTCATTTGAATTCTGCTAGCCGAAATAAATTAAGTAGAATACTCGGCCCTAGAAAAACACTTCCATTCCCCGACAAATGCCATAATAGGACTCAACACCCCTGATCGCTACACACTTTAGAGACCAACTAACTGGCAAATCTGGCTCCGCCTGGGCCTTGTCAATATATTCGTAATCAGCATGCTCATTTACCCCTCTATAACAACTCCCAGTCCCGTAGCTCAAAGTTTGCAAAAAACGGATAAAATCGATATCGGTCGATAACGAAAAGTAGCCTAATACACCCGCCCCGCCGCGAAGGTATGTGTGTTAAGGTTGGTCCGAATCGGTTTAAAACTAAAAATTTCTATTTAGAACATACGTACATAATTGTTTGCGCTTACTGCCAGAGCTGCTAATCCGATACAACTTACCCCCTTACCCCAGGGATTGACCTTACTGCTAAGTTTACAATAAAGTTCAGATAATAAAACAAAAATACAAAACAGTTGTTGTTTGCAAACAGCATGCTTGTAGTGTTCCGAGCTACTTCACAGCTACAAAATTGCAAAAAAAAGTTAGTGTTAAAGTTTTGAGTGCGTCATCATCAAAGCGGTCCACATTTTTGTGATTTGCCCATTTATCCCTCACACTAAGCCCACTTCGCAAATGAGAATTGGAAAGTAATAGCTTTTCGAGAAGGGGACCTGCATTTGAACTAGCTTCTTGTTTCGATTAGAGTGCCAAATGGGGTACGGCACACTTGAATGGAGGAAAGCAAGTCCCACAAAAGCAAACTAGGCGACTAATTGACCATTTCCAAAGAGAAGCGGCAAAACCCGAAAACATATCAAGGAGTTT